GAAAGAAGTAACTGTAAATATCGAGGATACTGAGGAGGCAGAAAAATCACAGGCTCCTTACCTACTCGTTTAGGTGCTTGACGTTTGTTCATGTCCTTCACATGAACCACTTGAAGGGAGACTTTATAAGTATTCTTTACGGTTGTGTATTTTAGTAGAATATTTTATATGGCCTCATTTGCAATAACATTTTTTTGATTTATTTCTCTCATTCGGGGTGGGGAGAAGACCAATGTAGTTTACTTCAGATTTAGCGTCTCCTATTTCTTTTTGTTTTTTACACATTTGGTCTGTTTGGCCAGTAACTTTCTTTCTATTAGAACCTGCACTTTTGGAACCAGATAAACCATCTCAGTAAAAATTGAAAGGAGAGTGGAAGACGTTTTGAACTGTTGTTAGGATTGAGGGTATTAAGACTAAAAAGACTTGAAACACTGTTTCATGTGCCTGGATTGTGCACACTATCTGATGAAAACAAACTTTGCAGAACTCACACAAAATGAAACAATCCTGTATTTTAAAGGCCTATGATGTTAGGCCAAGTTGGGATCAGTAAGGAGAATTAAACACATGAAAAAATGTCTTGAGGCATCTCTCATTTAATCAGGGTATCTGCCAAATTTACATGTTTTGGTGGTTATTTTTTTGTTCTTGTCCCTTCTAGAACCCTATTTATTTACTCTGACAGCATTGGCCAGATTTTCGATCCAAAATCCTGATTAAGTTAGTGCTTGAGTGACTGTACATCAAAGTGTAAAAGGATCCTTGTTCAGATGAACAAGGATCCTTGTCTAAGCCTAAGAGGAAAGGATCAAGTCTTAAGTTGTGCCATAAGCTATGATCACCTGCAAAATGAACGGGCTGCCAATCATGACACGTATTTTTGAAGAAATCCTCTTTTGTTTCTCATTGCGTGCATACTTTTTACACTACACGGGGGTATTATGGTATAAACTCACAAGTCCCTTTGTTCTCCAATCTGTCATTGCAGAGTAAGCTAGCCAGCTAACTGAATTTTCTTTATGGTTGGAACACTGAAAGACTTCAATAAGTTAAGTGCATGCATTTGGGTTTCTTTTTTCTAAGCAAATGTATACTCCTCCTTTCTTTGCTCTTTCTCCAAAGCTGTGCCGCAGAATGGTTATGGAAACCATTCTTGTTCCTAAGGCGTAATAATTTAAAAACCTGTTTTTGATGTCTTTTTTTTGGTCCACCCTATATCGTGAACTGACTTTGACTTTTGTCTCATGCTATCACACATTCATTGGTGAAGTTTCCTGTAATTTCTTTTCCTGTAATAGTTTAAGATTGATTCTTAAAGAAATACTGCGTAGGAATAACTGACAAAAAAGACGTCTGCATTTAAATCTTCACTTGTTTTCTCTACACTTTGTGATAGTTGCACAAACAAATACACGTAATATTTTTTGTTTCGTATGTACGGCTTACATTTTAAAATGTATCAAGTCTTTGTCCTTAACTGATGGAAAATAGAACTTATTTGAACACAGAGGAGCTTGTACTGCTATAACCCTTCACAGCAGTAACATTATGAACAAATAACCCCCCAGACTGAGCTCCAGCCGGGATCCTTGTGCGCTCAACAGAGGTCACTGCTATTGCAGGTGCCATCTTTTAGAGGAAGCGGGACCATTTTGAGAGGATATTAAAAATTGTGGGGGCTTGCACAGCACAGAAAGCAGAAGAAAAGGAGATGTTAACTCAGGTGTTTTGGCTCAAGCCCAGAGATTTGTTTTATTCCATTTGTTTATTTGGTTTTGGCCTCATGCCTGATGACAACAGTTAGAGGGGAAACGTGATCCATGGTCCTTGTATGTTCAGGTTTGTACTGTATAACATGGAGGTGTGACTTTAAAGTGTGTCACCGGAGCATGTTTTTGTAGAATTAGCCGGCACGCGCGAGCTCATAAGGACTTCATTGGTTTCAGTGTTTTTTTTCTCGTGGAGATTTCCTGGTCAAAATTGAAACGTGTTTTTACTCTTTTTGAAGTTTATTGATAGAGTGTGCTGTCTGCTCCTGGTTACAATGAGTGAGTTCTTGCTGCATTAAGTTGTCATTAAGGGCTTAGTTACATGTGTGATTTCAACATCTACAGTTGACATCATGCAAGTAGGCAAATGGCAAGACATGTGAAGGAAAAAGTGCAAAAAGGCACATGGCTGGGATGCAATCAAAAAACATTTGCTTTCTTTTATTTGTCACTTGAATGATACAAAAAATGTCCCATCTTTCCATAACACATGCACACTTGTCGCACAGAATCTTTTGTTTATTTGTTTCTGTTTTACTAAAATACAATATGTCACTAAAAACAGCCTTATGAAGTGAAGTGTGAATTCCTAAGTAAGTTGACAGGCCCTGAACCCATTTAAACATGCATAAAGTGTCAAGCCTTCAAGAGCTCATCCATCTTTTAGTTGCTCTTTTATTCCACATTACTTTATACCACACAGAAAAACGAATTATATAACACATATCCCATACCGCAATTATTCCAGCGGCTTTTAGATATTACTTCTGCCCAAATGTATCTTAAATTTCTGTCATATTTTTCCTCCTGCTGTACTTGGAAAAGCCTATTTTCCATAGGTCTCCCCAACATAATTTTTTTTTCTGCTATCCCTTTATTGGCAGTTTTGGCTCTGGGAAGCTGTGTGAGCCAATAGTGAGTACAGAAACGTGCTGCAAATGTAGCTCCAGCATGACGTGGAACAAAGTATTTTAGACCAAACTGGCATATACCTGGCATTTTCCTGTCCCATTTTAGGACATGTCTGCCCTTACTTTCTAAAATTGTACCAAATGCATAGCTGAGCCGGGACACTGTCACACTTGGCCTACGTCTAGTGTAATGTTTATTGGCCTGTTAGAGAGCTGTTAAACACAATTCGGTGGAATAGCAAACATGACCCTGCTCAACCTCAACTGAACTTTCACACCTCAAATTGTGACATAAAACACGCACTAGCTCCAGCTCCACTTGCTGCCCTCTGCACTTTTCCATTTTTGTTTTGGTGAAGTATTTTTGCCTTTGCTTTGCTGAGGTCACTACCCTCACTAGGCTCCCCGCCCTGTATTAGTGCATGGTCACAAATGAGATGTGAAACTGGATAAAACTTTATGAATATGCTGCCATATGACAAAATCAATTAGACAAATTAATACTCACTTTAAAGCCAGGCGGTTTAGTTTTATCGTATTGTAAGCCAATGTGTATTTTACTGACTGCATGGCATTTGGACCGGTGGACCAGAGAACTGGGGGTACAGTAATGATGGGATAAAAACCTGTTCGTGGGGAAGACATGTCAGTGGTTTTGGCTGAAGTGAAACCAATGATGTTTTGGGATTTTCTGACCTCAGACTGTTTCTCTGTATAGACCTGTCATTGCTGTTTAGTGCCAATGAGGGCAAGTTCTTCTTTCCTCAGAGATTTGTGTGAGAGAGCTTGGTGACCACAGACACCTGACATTTGCTGCTGCCAAAAGCAAAAGGTGGAAGATTTGACCCACAGTTTATACAATGACAACTCCTAACATAACCACACGCTCAAGCAGCTTTGGCCCAAATGCAGTGTAAACATATTTTAATGACGGGTGCTAGTGGTTAGCTTTACCTCACAAAATGCAAGTTGTGCAGTTTCCAATGTGTCTTCTCACTACTACTTCTACACATTCACATTTATGCAGTGGTGACGGCAGCAGATGTCATGAAAAAGTAATTAGTTGCATGTTGGAAATAACGTTTGAGAAATGTGGTAACACTACCTATAATTTCTTTGGAATTACTTGTTGTTGTGAAATACCTCAATTAACCTTGATACGGTTATTATTACTGTAGTTTATTAGATCTTTGGTCATTAGTCAAGAACATTTTATTACTCACAAAAGTTAAAACGTATTTCATACGGAATTGGTGTCTAATTATGCTTATCCTATATCCTTGCCGTCAAAATCTTTCTTTATTGCCCTGTAGGGAAATTTGTCCTCTGTATTTGATCCTTCCATTGTCACTAGGGTCTAGAGACCCATCTCCAGATTGCTCGGGTTGGTCCTATGGTTCATACCCTGTATTGAAAGACAAAAAATGTGTAACCGAGATATACCCAACACTGCAATCACACCATTGTTGTAAAATTTGTGTTTGGGTGACCTCTTTGTGTTGTCTTTATCTTATTATAAAACATATTATATTTTTTATAGTAGTTGGAAAGATCCCTCTGAGTCACTTTTTGATGCTTTGGGCTGAAAGCTGACTGGTTCTCTCTTTGTCATGTTTTTGTTGGGAAAGCTGATCTAAATTGTTTGATGTGACAGAGGCCAGGTGGAGTTCCTTTTTATAGCTAGGAACTAGTTGGACGGATTTCATTACATTTAAAATACATTTTTGAAAGTAGTTTGAGTTGGTTTAAAAGTAAGTACTTTAGCCAAAATGTATTTTTCATTACATACGTAGGCGCTTCTTACATTTTGTACTGTAGTGTAAACATTAAACGAGTGTTCCTGGCGATAATTTAAGTTGACATCTGTGAAATGTTTTCTATTAATGACAGTTTCGTCATGCTGGAATACAACATTGCTACCATGCAGTGTCATTTGTAGTTTTTGTTGCTATGGCAAATGACTGCAAAAGCATTCAAATGTCATAAGCAAACACCATTAAGGTTATTAGTATGTAATTGTAATTGCCCATCACAGCAATTGTAGCTTGGTGCCCATTTTTGTCTCTGTGACAGCCGATGTGGCATATTTTCCAAAATATTACAGAAACTAGAATTAAAAGTATAGATTAGTAGTTTTCAATGAGTTTAACAAAGTCGATCATCGACCTTTGGCTTTGCGTGTCCTAGTGAACTTAGGTTCTTGGGTGCAAAGTACATACCGATTTTTTGCCAATCCATTTGTGGCTTTTATATTACGTACTGTGAAATGTGGCTTTTTATTATCCATTTTTAATTTCTTACACTTTTCTCTCCACAGTTGGAGCTTCAGGCCTGCTGTGTGTTCCTGCCCAATGACAGTTTACCTTCCCCAAGCACCATAATCTGTGGAGACATTCCCGGGACTGTCCGGAGCTGGTATCATAACCAGGCTTCTATGCCTGCAACCCTGGTGGTCTGTCTGCCTCACATCACCATCCTCAGCACCGGGCACAAGTACATAGAACCATTGCAAGAGCTTCCCTTCATGGTCTCCAGGCCCATTTTAGAAGAAGGTAGGCAAACAACTGTTTGTTTTTATATGTTCTATATTAATCTGACATAATATGAAGTGGACAGGACAAAACAAAATTGCAGCAGTGGTTTCTCAGTTTAAACATCACTCTCGGTGATTAATAACAAGTGGGATTTATATCATAATTATTAATGAACAGGAACTTGTATTTTTCAAATGAGATTTTTCACATATCTTTTTATGTTGAAATGTCCTTATTGAATGCCTGACATATCAAGTTTAGAAAACAAAATAGCAGCCTGGTATCACCCCAGATCATGGAATAGCCTTGTGAACTACCTCATATTGGTGCGACCTAATTTCTGCAGTATTATAAACGCATCATATTCATTAATAATTGAAATGAATGTTTTGAAAATTGTAATAGTATACATTACGTGAATTCATCATCATTATTAATTTCTGTATGTTTTAATTTGACTAATACGTAATGAGAGGATCTGGTTGAGATCCTTGGTGGCCCGTTTTCGATGACCGGTAGTTGGGGGACGCACTTCAAAGACAACATAATATCCTTCAAACAAAGCTACCGTAGTATCTAAAGGACTGCAATATATGAGTCTCAACGCTAGAAGGTATCAAAAACTAACAGTGTAACCTTTAGAGGTCTTTGATGGCTTTCTGCTGTCCCTAGTTGCGTGCTCTGATTTATGTGGGGATACACTTTCTATATGTGATGCCTCCTTGTTTAATCAAATGTTTTAGTGCCTGTGCTCAGCACACTGTCCAATACTGTGACAGACGCAGACTAGAGACTAAAGGATTAGACCATTTTTTCGAATAATCCAGAGCTTGAGCACAGCCCTGTGCAATGCAAGCAGTGAAGCACCTTAAAAGGCTCACGCTGTAAACATTGTAAAAGTATATCTTTGTGTGGTGTATTAAAAGGGTTCCATGTGGTTTTACTGGTTGGACTAGAGACATTGTTGTGCTGTGATAGACAATGTTTTTGCAGTCAAGTACTGATCGTTTCACCACTGTGGGACAAATGTGGTGTCCCGTTAGTTTAGTAATCTTTTCATCCTTTTGGCTTGTACTTACTTATTATTCTCATCTCAGGACATTTGCCTTTAGTTGACATCATTAAAACCTTGCATTTCAAACGTGTCTATGTTCAGGAGGTATAGCTGCAATGTTTGGGGAATAAATGCAGGCCTGGCGCCTTGAAAGAGGACTGAAGAAACAAGGGGTTTGTAGATATGAGGACTATAAAATCTATTTTCAATGTTCTTGTTGACGAGCCATAAAATATAAGTAGTCCTCCTGTAGAGCTGGGCGACTAATTTGATTTTGAATTATTAAAGTCGAATTTGGATGTTTAAGGCGATTTCTTTTATTGAACAGTTTTTGTTGTTATCTTCTTTAGCGCTGAGCTACAGTGCTAATTACGCTAACTCCGCGGTGTTAATCAGTTTGAAAGCACCCTTACATGCTAAACAGTCTCCCTCTGGATCCTGACCCTGTCACATTGGTGCTTTGCACGAACACTTTAGGACGTTTAAGATCAGTCTTTTGCGAATCGCCAGAACACATCAACAGACTCGTATATCCTGCCCTGGCTCCGGTCGCTCTGCTCATATGCCACACTTTTCATCTTTCATTCTCATTAATTCATTCACGAGCGCGCACGCTCGTTACTTCCAAAGGGCTTTGACTTTCATGGGAGTGATTCAAAAATGGCCGCGGTGGCTTGGAAAATGAGGAAATACCCTATCTGCGCAGTGTCCGCGAGCCGGCACGAGCCCCATTCATGAACGAGTATAACTAGACGGGTCCAAAAAAAAAAAATCTCTCCCATCAGGCAGTGACACACATTGCAACTTTTGGACTATCTAGTAAAGGTGTTTTCGAGAGGTAAGAAAGATGCGATAATGTTTACATTGACTGAATTCCTTATTCCGGGTCCACCCCGCAATTGGCCTGAGGTGGTATTGCAACAGGTCAGCGCACGCAGTTTGGCCACTTTTTGAGCCGGGACCTCCCGCCCCCCACTGGCGCAAGACACACGTGTCCCCACTTTGCTGGCTGCAGTTTGGGGATAAGATAAGATAAAGGTGCTATGTGTGAGACACGCTCACACATTGCTCTCATTTGCTCTGATACTAACAACGAGTTTCCGTGCACAATCTGTACTAAGCCCTAGTTTTATACTCGCGGGTCGGGCGGCGGACCGTACAGAGAGTGACGTGACGTCACTTGCGCAACGCGTTGGTCACCGCAAGGCCCTTACTTTGTCCTGCCGCGCAGACATCGAAATTTTCTCTAACTACGTAAGGCGGTCGCCGCAAAGAAATCTCCGCTGTGATTGGTCCGTGTGTGTGTATTGGAAGGAAGCACGGAGCGCTGCAGCAGGGACAATGACTATGAAGCAGAAGCTTTGTGCTTCGCAAGGAAAAGCCTATATTGGGCTCAGAGCCTGATATATCAGGAGACTGTGGACTATCTACATATGGTATAACTTATAAACTGTGCAGGTCTGGTTGTCTTTGCACTGTTTCCTGTCTGGCGTTTGTTGCTTTCCTCCTGCACTCGTAAAATCGTCATGTTTGTCTCAGATGATTACACACTGGATTAATGTTTTGTCTGTTTGTGCTGAAAGAACTATTTGAAATAGATAACTATGTTTCCAACAAAAAACTGTGTCTTTATTCACAGCATCACAGGGGAAATGACGTATAAAATAATACATCCATAAAACTATCACATAAACTGCAGTGAAACACATGTAATGAGCGCTATTTGCTATTGGTTGTTCGGAAGAGACAAAGTACAGCGTAAATGGGACACCCGATCATAGTGTGATCGCCTCAAGAGGTTAGTTTTGTGAGGATTACAACCATTCTCCTCAAAACTTCCGAAAGGGAGACCGCTCCTTACGAAGGAGTCCACTCGCAACCGCTGAACGTAAAGCCACGCCGGCGCAAGTTATACATAGAGGCTTTTATGGCGCTACAGGTAGCAGAATGTAAACAGGAAGATAAACTGAAACTTAACACGCACAACGCAGTAACACAAAAGTTAGTACATTATCGGCCACCCCACTGACCGAGCGTTTTACTACACCCAGTTGCTCTGACATGGTTGAAGAGAACAAGCAAAAACCCAAGGAGGAGGCTTTGGAAAAGATTTTCTGTTATAACAATGTATTTTGAGTAAACATTAGTTTTAAAAATGTGATATTTTAACTGTAAATAAGCCTTGTGTTAAAACGATGGATATCTTTGCAATGGCCCCAAGCGTTTGCTCATGCACGAGTGCATTATGTCCTCTTGCAAGATAAGTTTATTAGAAAACTGATAAGGCTACATTGTGCTGTTTACGCATGGCAGGGCCGATCTCTGTTACAAGCATGTTTAGGACTATATCCTGTTACACTTATCTTCCATGGGGAAATTTAATTATACTTGCATAAAGGAAATCAATTTCTTTGTCTATTCTAGTTTGTTTTAAATAGAAAAAACAATCACTTAAAATTGAAATCGAATTTCTTTTCCTTTTTTTGCACATATATCGCCCAGTACCTTTCCCCTGATATATTGTATTAACAACGTTCACAAATGTAATTATTTTGTGGCACCTTCGGCTTCACAGCACGCTGGTTCCTGTGGCTCTGTGCCTCTGTGGGTCACTTGGCCACAGTAAATATAGTGCTAGAGACCTAAAAGTTAAACCATGCTTGTCACTTTTGTTACGACCCGCATGTGTCCCGAAAAGGACGCGTATACAGAGTTCTGCCAGGGCGACAATGCGATGGGCATTGGCCTGGAGCTTTTATGACGATGTGAAGTTCCTAAGTCCTCCGCTTGTTTTTATGTGATCAAGTAAAGTTTCACTCCTAAAACACAATTTCAAAACTTAAATCTCGTGTCCTGACTTAAGCGAGAATGCTGCTTTGGTACAAAAGGGCCTTGTTCTCATAAACTGTGTTATAGTATATTGATGTTTGCGTTTAGTTGAGTGTGTTCAAGCGCAGTGGCACCAAGGACGTGGCAAACTGATCTGAGAGCTCGGTGGTCTTAAGTTAGCTTTCTGATTGGCTTTTATGAAAATATTGAATGTTACATGCGTAAATATATTGACTATTTGGTCCATTTTTTGTGTGTGAAAGACTTAAGTGGCCGAACCATTGAGGGAATCGACTTTATTATCATATTAATTCACAACAATCATCTTTTTTAAAATATTGGTTTCATATTCTAAGATTGACCTTTCCCTTTTTGGCATGTCGACCTAAAAGCAGTTGTGCAGAAAAATGGCCTATATTTTCTCCAACCCGTCCCCTCCTCCGCCGAGCACAGAGGTCTGCTGCAGCGCAATCATTATCATCAAACCCAGGAGCTTCTTGGGTCTTGTGTTTTGCACATGCTTACAGGCCAGCAGGGTTTGTTTTACTGATGCCATGGGCAGACATCTCTGTCCATGCTGTGTGTGTGTGTGTGACGTCCGTTTAGATTTATGATTTGGACTTGGTATTGTTTTGTTTCCAATGAAGGCATATGTGACTTGAACAGCAGCAGTGACCTAGGGTACAAGATCCAATGTTCCAGCTCATAGCTACAGAGCATATTGTATTGTCCTTTCAAACTGGGACTTAATATGAATAATCTTCGTAATATAGTTAGGTTTTGTCTCACCTGGGTGTTCTCAGCACATGTTGGCAGATATTGTAGAACCAATGTGTGTCACTTTTAGTTAAAAATTGTTGCTTCATGACATCCATATGTGAGAATTGGATCTCTTTTCCAGCATGCATTACCTCCTCCTGGTGTATCCATGACATATCTTCATTAGACGAGGTAAATCCTCCTTACGAGGGACATCTGCTATCATCTCGTTTTCAGGAGGGTCCTCAAAATAGCATATTGTAATCACCAGTAGCTTTGTCTTTTTGTTGCAAGATCAAACATATAATAAGCACAAACTTCTTGTGCTGTTGTCTCCAAATTGCCTTTGGCGGAAGAAGTGTTAAGGCTTCCATGAGCAGGAATCGGTAGTTATTCAAATAAATATAGTTTCAGAATCAGATTCATTATTCACCATTTCTCACAATTCACCATAATATTTTGGAATGAACAAAATATGTAAAATGTCAACTACATACTGGAAGTACAAACACATAAGCAGTTGTTTTTCTCTGTTTAGTGATATAGATCATGAGGTCCAATGACCTGTAAAATGCAGTATGTTGTTGTAGCAGTCCCAAAGGTCCGTTACAACCATGATTACATGTACAAAATGATAATCAAGGTTGTGAGCACCGTAAGCATCTGTGTTAGATTTTGAAGTTCTGCTCAAGGGCTTAGATTAAGGCTATCGCTCCCCTACTGGTTTTAGAATGGAAATGTTGTCGTGGGTTTCGAACATTTGTTCAATGCATAAAGCTAATTACAGGAATAGTTGTGCAAGCCCCACTGTTCTGTGAAACACAAAATAAGCTTTGGTCTAAACAGACAAGAGTGGCAAAAGTTGTTCGTCCTATTGCTGTAGTACCTCAGAACTTCCTCTGGAAACGTGGTTTACGTGGATAAAATACTTACCAATGTTACTGGTTTTCTGTTATGTTGCTGTACAAGCAATTCTTTCATACAACTAAAGTGTTCACACTCCTCGCCCTTTTAGTCTCCTCCCACTAGAGAAACGCAAACTGGCGAGAAGGCCCGGAAACCGCTGTCGAGTCACAGCTGTCCAGAGGTGGGGCGTCAAATCGCCCAGACAAAAGCCTCAGCGCTCGTACGCACTGGAAGTTTGTCCTGAGAGGGCTGCACGCTCTTCTGTAAAGTCTCTCACGGAAGCTTCGAGAATCTCAAGCATCAGCACAACTGTTTTCATCATGTTCACGTATGCGTCACGGATATTTTTTCTCAACCTTTTGGATTCACCTAGGGCGGTCCCTGTCCCGTCAGGTTTGAAGACCACAGGACTTTTCAAAAGTGTTTATACTCATGTAAACCTTTCCACATTATTATCTAGTCCTGACCACATTAAGGTAATGTTAAGAAATCAAAGAATATTACTAACAGGGACAAACAATTGGTGAAGTAAACGCAAAGCAGTTAACGTAGCACTCAAAGAAGACACACACTACAGCAACAACTTCTTACCTTTACACACAGGCCTGAACACACCTTATCTCACACCGAAACACACCTACACACACCACACACATTAGACATGTAACAGCGTTACATGTATTTCCCGTTTACTCTCCGAACCAAATGCAGAACGCGAGGTCGGGAGCCCCCGTTAGAGAGGAGAATCAGCCAACAGACTGAGCCTGATTCTGGCACGACCGGCCCCACGATAACACACCAGAAAAATAGTGCAAACAAAAAACAATACATTAAAGCGACAAGAGGAAGAAATGAGAAAGGAACCAGTAAGAATTAAGAACGAACAAAATAAAAGAGAGAGAATCAAAGTGCAAAAAAGAAAAAGAAAGGAGAAATCATAAAAGTCAAAGTAGCAAACAAACCAAAAAACTACTCTCGACTAGAGAGAGGGTCTCTCCCGTCTCCCCTAAACACAACACAAAAACTAAAGAAAAAAAGAAATGAAAGATAAAGAAAAAAAAGAAATCCAAAAGAAAGCAACGGCCAAGACAAAAAAACGACAGCGGAACAAAGACAAAAAAAAAAGCATAAAAAAGAAAATATAGCGAAGGCGGCTTAAAAGGAATATATGGAAAAAAGCGTAAGCCAAACTACAACCAACAATACCGCAAACAAACCAAACCAGAAATAAATCAGCATAACAGAACAACAAAAAAGAATCAAAAGAAACGACAAATATAGAGAAAACAAACAGTGCATACTGAGAAAGACTTGTATATAATTAATAGTGGGCAAAAAAGTATTTATCATGCCAATCAGATGGTGCAAGTGTTTCCCACTTAAAATAATGACAGGTCATTTATTTCATTTGGAAGCACTGCTTAAATCTGGAATTTAAATCAGGGTGTTTTTCCCCTAATTTCCTTCCCCTAAATTGATATGTTGATAGTCTTGTGTGCCAGGCCTTGATTGGGTATAACCCTGCTTTGTAATCTGTGGAAAATCTGTATTTACATTTTTGCTCAGTTAAAATATCCAACATAGAAGACATATTCCCTGTGCAATCTTCTGCAAAGCTAACAGGTTTTGTTTATCACATATGTCCTCCAGCCCCAAGGTGGTACTTGGATCTGCTCAAAGGCCCAGAGCTGTTCTCTCATGTCAGCACAGTAGCATTCATTCCTGCTACTTGTGGTGCTGTAATATGTTGTATCCCTTTTTAATTAAATATGGAATATACAATGTATAAACAGAAGTAAGCTTATGACTTTTCTTAAGTTGGTGATTTTATGGTTAGGCCTTATCAGTAGTGAAAGTTTTTATAGTTATACCATCATACTACCTGCAATTTATTTGTTATAATTTCTTACAAAATACAACATAGAAGTATGGTGTTACAAGCCAGACCTATAGTTGCAATAATGCCCATTTCATACAAATAATGCTCAGGACTGCTGTTTTAAGGTAAGAAGAGAATCGCTGACATACTCAAAAACACATGTGTTTTGTATAACTGGATATGCCTTCTGCATGCTTCCATTTGCTTCCATGTGATGGTGAGTGCTTTTCTTGCATCATTTGTAGGACTCCTGCTACAGTACATCTTAGGGGCCCCTGACAGCCCACTTGTCACTGTTTACCTAAGCACAAACACTGGTAGAAGTGTTTGGTCCTAGGGGAGACTGGGTGATTGAGCAAGAATGTAGGAGCTGTTTTGATAAGTCTCAGCACCAGTGGCAGGACTCACTCCTCAAACCCATACCCTCACCACCCACTACAGCCTCCTCAGGGCTCCACCTGGCTCTTTATAAACAGAGATGTGTGATATAGTATTTGGCTATATTAAGTATGGGCTTTTTTCAGAAGACTGAATGTTCAGAAGACTGAGTGTGTAAGCCTCTTAACGGATTCAGGTATTGGTACTGCTGGACTAATTGTGATTATATCATTCATAGCTGGTAACTGTGCATTCTTTATAATATTTAACTAAAACACACAGCATCAGTACAGTATATAAGGATTACAATTGTCTTGTCTCCGATATTTGTTGTCCCCCCCTTCTTTGACCTGTCTGATGCTTCTGATGGTTATGATGTTGATGCCTGCTGTTGTCTCCCAGTGTTTGGGTCTTCCAGATGAGCAAAGACAAACGGTGCAGAGAAAATAAACCAAGATCCTCCGAGGTTTACAGCACAGAGGCCCAGGAATTAAACTGTATATGTTACATCTTGGCTTTAGAAGGTGTGGGAAAATGGCTTCCTCTCAAATTATGTGGATTTGGGGTTTTTTGGGGGCCCAATCCTCCAACTTGCCAACGTTTTAAAAGCCCCCTCTATCTGAGTGCCTCCATATCTGCTTTACACGTTAGGCCTTCCATATGTGATACATGATTATACCTAATCTGTCATCAGTAAACTTCTCTTGGAGCTCTTTATTTATTTGTTTTATTTTCCTCAGCCATTTTTAGGTGAGCAGTAAAAATGTGGTATGTTACAGTGAAAAATAGATAAAATGGTCTAAATCTGCCTGTTGTAAGGTCAAATATATGACGGCCGTAGGATATGTAGCTATTACATGATACCTGCTGTAGTTCAAATTGGGACACTGGGATAGGGATGTCTGATTCTTCTGTGAAATCCCTTAGTCCGCTTGGAGCTTCCCACAGCATCAGCGGCTGGCTCCTGTTTCCACACATGACATTATGGAGCCTAATCCAACTGACTGGCCAGAACCGTAAACTAAACACTCCTAACCACACACACACTCTCACAAAGGCAGAGACTCGGCCATGTTTTGACTCTTGCTCAACAATAATTAGGCCCCAAATGGCACTTGACAGTACAATATCTCTCATTTGGACTGAAGGCCATCATTATTATAGTGCTCAGATTACTCGTGCCCATAAAGAAGGGCCAGGAACGTCATACTTGAATCACAGTGAATTATGTTTCCTCTATAACTACTTAATTTGTCTGTCTGTACTACCATTAATGCATTGTTGAGCTCTCCTTCTTGACGCAATACAGTTGCTGCCATCCTTTACTTCTCAACATAAATGGTTTAGCCTTTAGTGACTTTATGACAAATGTGAACTAGAATAACAAGTTTAGTAAGCCATGTTTATTATGAGCAAATAAGTGTGCAAGAAACAAAAGTAGAATTTCAAAATTGTGCATTAATAACCCTGAGTTACATACATTTACAAAATAATAAACATATCATACACAAGAGAAACACTTGCAGAAGTTGTAATACTTGTTTCTGCAGCTTTCTTTGTATTTATCACAGTATTACGCAGTGAGTGATTTCAATCACTCAATCTTTTTTATTTTATTAGAACAATTTGTGCAATTTAAACACAAAATGCATAAAAACACAAAAAACTCATTAAAATGTGGGTTTAAAAAGGGAGAAAAAAGCAATACATAGTACAAAATAAAATCAGTTGTATGCACAGCTAAAAAGATATGTTTCCACCCTAGTTTGTTTCCTACAAAACCAACACTAACTTGTGATTTAGATGTGTAAAGCGTATGATATAATGTCCTCATTTAAAGTGCTTAGAGTCTCTAATCTCCACCACAACCACCTTGAATAACCACAACACGGTCATTACTGCACTAAAAAGAGCTACGCAGCAAATTACAGTAATGTCTGTTTGAAGCATTTTTTACTTTCCAAGTCAGCCAAAGAGATGCTGTATATGATTGGGAAACGCATTTACCAGGAAGAGATAAAAATCCAACCGGTCCCTTGTTATACTACAGTGTGCTCTGCCAAACTTGCTGTGATGAGTCAAGAGCTTACAAAAGGCCTCATCTGCCCCCGCCTCCGGTCCGCACTTCCCCTCACTCTCCCAGATCGTGTGTGTCCTGGCCTTCGCAGTGAAAGCAGCCCCCATGGGTGACAATGGCCTGTGTTTCTTGGGTTAAAACAAATGACAGCTTGTACAGTGGTTCCTTTTAGCACTGTACAACTCTGCTCGCCGGACACTGATGTCATCCACACAGGGAAAGTCTTGAAAGACTGTGGTGGCTTTGTTATGGCTACATGTGAAACACAACAACACTGTGGACTAATTAGACATGTGCGTGTTTTGTTTTTGGTCTCAGAATAACTTGTGATGGAGAAAAATGAATAATGGTTACACATATTTACTTATGTCTTGATATTTCCAGGGCGATTCTGTACAAGGAGATGACAGTCAATTTGCTGATACTGTCACTCTGGAGCAAAAGACCAGTACCATAGGAGGTACTAGTGGGAAGGTCAGCATGTGGATGCAGTGGATGTTACCAAAGGTCACTGCCAAACTTTATGCTCCTGAACCTGCTGCCAAGAAGACAGGTATGCCCATATTGTCTAACATATAGACCGATATAATATTCAAGTCCAATACACAACTGAAATCCATTAAAAACCCAGAGTTTGCAAAAACCTACACACCAATAACCTTATCTTAATGTAAATGCTTATATATAGCAGCAGATATAGGCTCTCCCCATACCCCCCCGCCCCCCCGACCCCGAAACAGAATAAGGGGAAGAAAATGGATGGATGAATTACCAGATATAGAGAAAGTCAGTGATTATATTTGCCTGTCAGTATTACAGAATATACATCATGTTGAGAAGAGGAAACATTTCATATGTATTTGTCACAAAGGCCATACCCTATCCACTGGGACCTGCAGAGGGATTTGCCGCTGGAAAAAAAAGGGGGGATTGGTGAGCGAAGACAAATAAATAAACGAGTGATGAATCCTTAGCGAACTGCCTCTTGTCCCGAGATTTACTAAGACGATGAAAGGCTAGATTTACCTTTAATTTGTGTGTGTAATGTTTAGCATCTGCCCGCCAGATCGCCTAGCTTAAGGTCTTTAACCATGGAGACATATCTGAGGACCTCACAGCTATGGTTTGACTTAGAAATATCCTAAATAGGTATTACTTTGGATTTGGCATAATTTGTGCCATCTGAGTTGAAAGATAAAGTTACCACCATCTTTTATTTGTGCAGTGTGTTAGGCAGCATGCAAGAAAATCAAAGCAGATTGTTGCATGTAGTATGAAACTGTTGAAACCGGCAAACCAAATCAGAAACACATTCTGCTCTTTGAATCTTAATACTTGAAATTAATAATGTATCTTTAATAATGACTAATCATCTTTTGTGCAGAAAAGGCCAACATAATATATGGCATATAAAAGATAATTTTATTTGCTACCCCAAGGCAGTAAAGAAATTACCAGAGCTTTTATTCTCCAGCTTTGTTTTGATTGTTGCAGTTGGTTCACTGAAAATATAGAAGATACTAGGTTTTATTTAACATAGGTAAAGGTACTGTATGTAGGAGTTGTATGTTCAATTATGTGATTTTTTTTGTTTCACAGTCATTATGTACAGATCATATATTGATCATATATTTCCAGACCAAGATGGTCTGGAAATACAATATATATATGATTTATTCTTAATTACAAAAAAAAACAATGGGTATGATGGTGACATCATCTGTGTTAACATTTGATAATTGGGTTGTCAAGCTGATTATCTAATAACGCAGAACAACCATTAAATTAGTTTCTCATTTGCATTGCCAGTTCCTTCGATTAAATCCATCTGGTTTTGTTTCTACCAAAACCCAACAGCCCAGTGGGCTTTGGGCCGCATCAGAACGTCTGAGGGCCTGATTCGGACCCTGAACCACAAGTTTATTAAACTTGCTTTATAGTATTTGAACATTATATTACTTTTTAGAGCAAAAACGGCATACTGTTCTTTTAATCAGCGCTTGTATGGAATTTACACTCTTTTTCGTTTTCCTGCAGTGAGTTTGTTTTCATAAGAGGTGCAATGTTGCATGCAGATGCAGACCTGAGTACTGATGAAAAAATGTTTGAGGCTATTGGACTGGATTGAACAGTGCATATTTAGGAGCAGAGACATCTATCCTCAAAATGAACAGATGAAAGCTATGTGGATGTTTTCCTAACTTAGGTTTCTTATGCAATGCTTGTGATTTTGGATGCTAGCTATCAATCATCATTTTGTGTGGAATTTTTTGGAATAACTAAGCAACAGTGCATTAAATGTAGAACGCTTACCCCCGCCCCCCTGTTTACATAGGCTTTTTAGGTTATACACTTAGTTTGACTTAATAAATGTTTAAAGTGTCACTTCTGTCTTATAGCTTGAATATTAAGATTTCAAATGTGATTAATATGTAACAATTGTGTACTGTGTCATATATTATTATTTAGCAGGGATAACTACAATCTGTGAAATATGCCTTTGTCCACACTATTTAGTATAAAGCTCATTATGATAACAAAATAATGTATTTTTTGTTTTTTTGTTTTTAGAAATATGTGTCATCTGTGAACTTGAAGACTTAAGCGCCTCTGTGGATGTTCAAGATGTTTACACAAAAGTTAAATGTAAAGTTGTCAGCTTCAATATCGACCATTACACATCCAGGTAATGACATTTATATATGTTTTATGTTGTCCTCTTGATGATGTGTTGGTCTTCAGGCCGGTGTGATCCTGAGGTGTCAGAGGGCATTTTTCTGTATAGTTTGCAATCCACAGGTGTGGGTCCAATTGCTTCTGAGACGAAGCCAACTTTAATCTCTTTAGTAGACCTCTCTGCCTTCTTAAGTAGATAATGGGTCAATTATCTCATTTCTAGGTTATTTCAGTTTAATGTGCATTTAACAACATGGTCTCAGCACACTTAGAACCAGCCAGCATTCTGGCAGGCAGAAACACTCCATCATCCAAGCCCAGGTTGTAGTCACGGTTGTTTGGGACACAGAGGAGGACCTCTGGGCTCTGGGCCCAGGCTAATCTGTATCATCCACATATACAAGAGAGCCCACAGGGGTTGGAGTCCGTATTAATCATCTTGAACAGATAATTGTGAGGTACCTTGTCACTAGGCCAGATTATTTGTGTGCTATGGTTCAGATCAAATTCAGCTTGACACACAAAATATCACATCTGGTGCAACCTTTTACTAGGCTAGAAAGTCCCTAGAAACTTTAAAATGCTTTTGAATTTAGAGATAAATATATAATTGAACCTCTGATTGGGACTTGGGCATGAAAAGTGTTATTGAACCACCAGAACACAGCTGTGAAGATGGGTGATGAGGATTATATGCTTCTGGTCAATCTCAGAGGGGGGATTTTCAATTTGAGTTTTTTTTTTCTTTTTTAAATTGTGTATACTATTTATTTATCCTCACAAATAATTATATTTGGCGTTCCTGTGAAATATATGGAAAATATTTACCAATCTTATTTTTTACTTGCCATATGCAAAAGACGTAGCTTGCTGTTATATTTATTGAGTAGCATAGGCTGGAGTGGAGTGGCATTGACCATTTGGTCCTGCAGGTAATTGTTTACAATTAAGCAGTCATCAGTGAGGCATGTGGTCAACGGAGGTCCAGTTCTTGGCTTTTTAGGGACTTCCAGTCAGTCTGTGACCTGCCGGTGACGCTCTGACAGTCTTGGTTTAGTGGTCACTTCATTTTGTGATATCCTGTTTGAGGCCTCAGTGTGTCTTCGTTGACGGAGCAGCCATCTTCCGTGGACCCACCACCTGCAGGAGGATCAGCTAGGGCTGGTGCTTTGAGAACTGGATGGCAGGTCGGATTGCCAAAAGGAATGAATCCATTAGTTAATTAGTGAATCAAACAATTTTTTTTTCATTCACGTCCTTGCTACAGCAAATTATGCAAAACGTACAAAAATCTGTTGGATTATTTAAACGTTTTTAGAGGGACACATTAAGTTCACCTGTGAATGTTGTCATGCATTTTAGGGTCATCTTGAGATTCTCCCCAAAAGCTGAATTCTCTATGTTTGTGAGTAGTGTATACTTAATCACAGGCAAAAAGATGGTGAGTTTAGCTGTCAGCCACATTATTCGTGTCTCAAAAATGTAATGCACCTGTCAATAATAGACAACATTTTGATAGCAATCTTTTGATTTTTTTCCACAGTCCCTGATTTGTAATGTATGATTGGGTTTGTGATGATACAGGGAAAAATGCACAGAAAAGGACAATTAGTGATGCAGCCCTCACTTTGTATCAAATGTTTTCCAGCTGTATGGAAAATGGCACAAAGAAAGTGAAGATGCATGTTAACTTAGAACAATAAGGACATTCTGTATTCTAATTTCCAATGTAGACTTTCTTCGAAGAGATACAGTATTAAAAGTCCTGCTGAGATTTTTAATGTCTTTCAGGGAAGTCCTGGCCCCAGGAGGATACTGTACATGTTTTCAGTGGTAGGGAAACGGGGACCTGGAGAAAAGCTATGCAGACAGACACTGTTTACCTTTTTACGTAGCACAGGTGTTTCTATGACTATTGTCTAATAATCCAAATAACTGAAAACCAATAATCCCTTTCCTTTCCCCTGGGGGCTGAAGGGTTCTTTTCACGTTTTATGTGCCTTTTCTAAAGTGATGGTTACATGCTTACAGATGTTCTGAGTTTGTACTTGGCCCTATGTGTCTCCTCAGGCCAGGGCAAGGCTGGCACTGTGGCCACTATGAAGGAGTCGTCCTGCAGTGCAAGGAGACAGCTGTGGTGAGGTCTCAGCAGCCATAAGACTTCGCCTGCCACTCTGCTCCTAACCAATCCCAATTCATGTGCTTACACTGGACGGACAGGGAAACATTGCACACTACATGTCTGGGTAGTGGACTTCCTCCCCTGTCTTTCCAGTATAGCTTACTAGTTGAATCAAACCATAAGGTTATGGGCTAAATGTCTGATTTTTTATCTTGATGATCCACTGGTCAGGCATAGCATTGTGTCCACAGTCACAATATCATTGTCTCTTAACCATAGTATCTGTATGTATCATTCATAATACATAATACTAAGAGTCTATGTGTTGATACAAAGTAGTTTGACAATGATGATCATCTATCAGAAATGAAAGAAAGATGATATGAGATTGGTGGTTCAAATGTTATGCCTGATTTATGTGCCTGGTAATGGTCTTTTTCAACATTGTTTACTTTAACTTCAAGGTTTCCCGAATCAGATTGCTCTTCTCTGATTATTTTTGATGACTTTTATGGATTTTCTTCTTTCTCTCTTTCCTTTTCTGCGGCTGAATCCATCCATTTGGGACCACTTCTGTTTGCCCTGTCCATCTTCTCCTTATCTGCAACTCACCTCCAGCCTTGAGGAGGGCACTAGGAGGTCGGGCAGCTGCAGTGGAGTGGTTCTGTCTTGCACTGACAAGCTGAACAGGCGCACTCTGCTGGTTCGACCCGTCAGCAAGCAAGAATCATTCAGCCATTTCTCTGGCTTTTTTCCTCCTGTAAGAATTACTTTGTTTAATTCTCTTCTGAAATTTCTTCTCATCCCTATAAGTAGTTTGTCAAATCTTGATTTTTAAAGGAAGAAACTGCAAAAATATGATAACATAACATTCTAAATGAAATAGCTTTTAACCATGTTTAGTTCGCCTCGTCATGTTCTTCATGTATTATGATAGAAAGCTTTGGCCATATCTTACTGGGCAGAAATCTCTGTTATGGCTTATATTGCTGTAAATCAAAGTCAAATTAGCCTTCTTATAACACTGAATGTATTTATTATACGCTCATTTGATTTTTTCTATTGTCCTGAACAAACTAGACTGCAGCTAAAGTCTTGGAGGGTTCCCACCAGCAGCATGGTTTCTTGGCCATCACCTACACTCAGGCAGTTACCAAAAATGTTCGACATAAACTGACAACTCGACCAGAACGTCAGTCACGCAGCAGCGGCGGCATCAGTGCTGGTCATGGTGTGACTCCTGACCCCCTGGCTGATGGTGCCCCCCAATATCTGAGAGAGATCCTTCTCACTGCACAGCCCTTTGACATTGTGCTCTCTTGTCCATTGATGGCCACAGTGGTGGGAGTTTTTCAGGTAATTTTTTATAATGTATGTTTACCATTTTATTGATTGTAAGGATCACTTCTTGTCAGCAAAGAGCCATGCACTAACCTTTCCTTTCCCCAAAGTTTTGTTTTGCCCTGCTACATTTGTTGTAAAAACAACTCCTGATGTTATAACAGTGTTGGCTGTGTAGCTGTAATGTGCTAGATCTTTTTGGCTTACATGACAGTAAAGCTTACATTGGCCTCTGAAAGTTATGAGTGCAATAATAAGAAGTGAAGATTCGGTTACAGGGCTTGTATTCTTACTATTATCATATTATGTTACACATGACACAGTTCACCAACAACATTCACCTTATTTTTCAAGACTAAAGTCCCAAGACGCTACAGAGAACGTGGGAAGTCAGCTGGTCAGCCGATGAGAAGCCACATACTTTCCTCCCGCAGCCTGCCGCTGATCTACATCAACACAAGTGTGATCCGAGTCTTTTGCCCTGGTTCACAGGACACACAGTCCCTCTCAGGTTTGTCCAGACCTTGTTTAGTGGTTTGGGGCTATGTCACACGCCATGCTGGGTGTTTCAAAAGTGTTATGGGGGTGAGGTGAAAACCGTTTTCACAGACCAGACATAGCAAGAGTCCACATCAGAATGTAGACATTTGTGAAGATAAATAGATGAGGTTGGATGAGCTAAACATAAAATTATTGTTGGAAAACTGGGGAGAGGTTGTTTTGTCTGCATGTAGTTATGATTTATACTTTCCAGTGATGCTGCTTTCCGGCTGTAAACTGTAAAGTTTTCATGCTTGCATTTTTTATTTTTTATTTGTTACTTATGTTTCAGCTGATCCACTCTTGAAGAAAGAAGACACCCTGGTATTGAAGCTGGGTTCTTTAAGCATGGCACCTCAAGCTGATAACCCTCTGACACGCACAGTGCTACGAAAAGATATATACCAGTAAGATACCTATTTTTCCTGTTTAATTGTGTCATGCCTGTTTGGTAGTTATATATTATGTCTTGACACCTTTTGAAATATTTATTGGCACTTTTTTGCTTAGAGCAGGTGACAGCGCCACATAGTGTTTGATTGTCATTCCTATTGACGCAATGCACTGATTGACACCTTGGGGGTCCACTCGACTCTCCAGCTGAAACACAAGACTGTTGACACAAGCCCCCAGTGCCATGCAGATCAAAGCTGCTATGGCAGGGAAATTCTGCACTTCTGAGGGAAATGGCTCCACACAAAACACATTTCTCCTCTATAGGCAGCTATGAGAATCTGGATTGTGTCATGACTGCCTCAAAACCGCAGCCCCACGGCATGTGTGTGTGAATGGTAGATATAGAGCTGGCAAACACATGTAATGAGGGAGATAAAAGTGGTGCCTAATGCGTTGTGCAGCTGCTAGTGAGATGTGAGCTGACACAAGATGTAAAACGGAGAAAAAGGTGGACAACAGAGAGCACTTCAGACTTCACTGCAGCTTTCATTTTGTGAAAGTGTCATGACCAAGCAGACTGCACCAAGCAGAGAATGAGGGGGTCTCAGGCCTTTGGGCACGTCTGGCAATCTGTAACCATTAAGGCATCAAGATGGAGAAAAATACAGTCCAACATTGTCCAAATTTCTTCCAGAGTATGCAAGCTATCTTCCTTAAAGGCTTTCATTTACTCTTTTGATCTATTAGAGCACATATGGAATTGATCAGTAACCATAGCTACTGTTTTGCAGATCAGTCAAGTAATTTCAGTTTAACCCATGTTGGCCTGTAAGTTTCAGATGCTGATAGTTAGAGGAATAGTGGGTCTGCGGCAAGTGTACCCACATCATCTTTGCAGACATGGATGCCCAAACATGATACTCCACCCCGATCCTGAACTTAATGTGCAGTCATAGACTTTGATATTGACTTATACAATAAAACATGAGGAATGCTTTATTTATATATTATAACATATATACAGCACATATAAGACAACTAAAGTTGATATCTTAAAATGCATGACATCAGCCCCAACACACAGAAGCTAAAACCCACCACTTCCCCTTTGACAAAACCCCCAGAATTTTGGCCTACCACTTTCTTCTATGTTCATTCTTTTTGTCCCTTAAACTAAGAATTACACATTTCCCTCCTTTCCTTAGCTCAAGTGCCCTTCAATTTTGGGCATTTCTCACTGACTCATATGATTGGTTAAGCTGCAAACATGGACTTGTTGACATTTCGTGATAAGCGCTTGTGTTTCTTTCTATCCATGCTCCATCCAACACCATGCTCTCCCAAGTAGTATAGAGAAAGTCATTGAGCAAGTCTGTAATCATGCAAACCAATGTATGTTTACAATCTATAACCAACTGTGGCTTCCATAGCCATTTGCTGCACTCCTGTTTTAAGTCCACCACTAATTACATCCGCTGTCATAATTGAATGACAGATCCAGAAGGCCCTACAGGGTTTTATTGTTCACTGTATATGAGATGATCACAATACCTCAAGCTGCGATTTACTGTAATGCCACCCTGTGAGGCGAGAGCCAAGGCCAAAATAGCAAAGCAAGTGTAAACATCCTGGCCGAGGATATCTTGACAACTTTCCACCAAAAATGATTCTGACACTCTTTGGAGCTTGCCGTGTTTATCATAGAGAAAAGATATGCTGCATCAAAGGAGGTAAAATAAACCGTTTTTAACTGTGGAACTTCAGTGTTAAGTTGATATCCACCACGGTGCTCATTTGGTAACAATTAACACCATTTCATTTGATCTTGTGATTTTAAAACATTTTCCCCCTAAAGAAGTTGGTCCCAAGCGACTCTTTTACGAAGCAAGAATTATGACACTGAGCTGCACGCTTTCCCCCCACGCTCCCTCCACATCTTCACCTACAAGGCCGCTGTCAATTTACACAGCTGAAATCATTTTCCCGTCTTGAAAAGGTTTTTTTTTCAGCTACACAAGCGTCTGCACCGGGAATGTCCAGCTCACATCCAGACCCCACTTTCTTGTGGTTTGAGCTTACTGAAAAGACCCATACATCTTTAACTCTCCACTCCCATTTTTTCATTCATGGAACACTTAATTGAAAGCTTCAAGAAGAGTGAGAAACTTATAGGGTCAATAGGGACCACCCTCCAAAGTACCCTGCAAGTAATGTCTCTTTGGCGAAGGCATGGAGTCAAGTGGTACTGACACTTTCTGAACAGTTCATTCTTTATCTGCATTAATGCAGATAACAACTTCTCGTTAGACCTGAATAGAATAAAGTTTCTTCCTGGGTCTCTCTCTTTTAGCTGTAATTATGCATTCAGCTATTTATTTTGTTACTTAAATACTATTTCCCCCCCCATATTCTACTGTTGAAAGAATATTAATAGTGGTGGGATCCTTTATCCCATGAGACCATTTTAGAATTCTGAATGTATTAAAAAAAAAACTTGGTTAATTCGTTAGATCACATAACGTATACATATCCAACTTTAGATGATTTGATCCAACGTTAGATGATTTGTCAAAAATAGTTCTTCTCCATGCCTACATTATGCCTTTTTTTTGCTCTCAGCACAGCTGTCAAGGAGACTGCCTGCTGTCTTCTTCTTTTCTTAAATCATAGGACCATGCATATCTCTTCATTGAACATCTTAAACAACACTTGTGTCAGAAATCTGCTGCATGATATCCTTTCTCTCCACGTGAATTTGATGCTTGTGAAGGCCATGTCAAACCTGAAAACCAACTCTTGCTCAGCCATTCTTCAATTGTGCAACCAGTCGATCTCTTCATTTTACCACTGTTCAACTTTGACCAATATGGACACTCCACTTTTTATGTGTGTGGCTCTTATTTTATTAAAGTAATTATTTCCCTCTTATCTCATCATAACTCATATATGACCTGTGCAGGTGCTATTGTGATCCAAAAACATTATAACACACACATAACTGTAAACTGACTTTATTTTGTCTAATTCACATACGCTGTCCTTGGACTCCTTTAGTATGTTCAATCATGAAACATTTTATCACCACTACAAAATCCCGTTCTGTATTTCACCAGTACATGGCCCTACTCCACTGTCCTTTTAACCCCAAACATTTCTCTTTACATTTCTATCTCTTCATTTTCCCTCCAGTTATTTGTTATTTCCTCTCGGTCTTTCTTTCCCGGCTGTGTTACTCCACCATTGGTTTAACTGGTTCATGTCCCAAAAGTCTGTGGTCAGAAAGCCAACCCCTGTATTGCTGTTGAATGGCTGCCTGCTTAAAGCCCACATATATGTCCTAATAAGTGGTTGTGATGGGGATCTCCCTTCCACAGATAAACACAGCACACTCAAGCCAGGACCTGGGTCTGTTACTAATAAAAATCACTGGCAGTCGGTTGTGTGCATCCTCCTTTAGCTTCAGTAGCATCCGTGCTGCAGCCACTTATGTGTGGATAGAGGAATAGAGATTTGCTCGTCTGTTGGGGATACAATAAGAGGACATAGTGTGTGTTGTAATAGGTATTTTCTATGCTTCAACTTGACACTGTGAACTTACTTGGTCACAAAATGTTGGAAACACACACAACAACAAATGTATTGTTGTTTACTATGTACACTTATTATTGCTAAAACAGTAGTATTTTAATGTGCATAGAACATGTTCTCAACTCTTAAACCTGCCAACTTTAACTACATTGCACGTTACCATTGTTCCTGTTCTTTAACCAGACCACAATGCTTCTGGATGTATTTTTCTTTCATTCATTTATTACTCAACTGTCCACTGCGTCAAGGTGATGAATGTCGCTGCTTATATCGGCTCAGTTCAAAGGTGTGTGGAGCTGTCGGGACATCGGCAACACCTCCATAAATTCACTGGTGGTCACAGAAGCTCACACAAAACTATACCACCCTTACTGCTGATTATTAGTGCACTCCCTCTTCAGTACCTTTTAAATCTCTTGGTCTGTGCATTGAATAACTCATTCAAGATATCTTTGACAACTGTTGATGCTCCAGTGCTGCATATGAAATGCCAGTCTTTTTTTTTCAGACACTCTCAGCTGGAGTCAGTCTTTCTTGTCTTACCTCCTCATCTTTCTTTTCCTCATAAAACTGCAAGTTCCCAGCAAATGATTCATTAGATGCTTCAGTGCACACTTGCTTCATCACTCACTTTAGTCGACTGCCAAGTGCCCCATTTCCCCGTTTGTTTACACCAGTCCAAAGTGGGCTGCTTTGCTCCACTGCAGCAACAGAGGATAAGAGCTGCTGAAGGCCACACACAGTGACACCCAGGGCCCACACCCGTACATTCACTTCACATTCACTGCATTTCTTTAAAATAAATATGGCGCTCAAACTATTCGAATCTAGTAGCATTCTAATAGACTAAGAATAGACTTGTGATGTCCATAGTGGTTGGTTTACACTTTCTACAAAAATCTAAGGTTTTTAATGTATCCAAATTTGTCTAGTCAAGACCAGCTTTTTTCAGCTTTGTATCCTGAAAAAAAAAAAAAAAATCCTCATGCTTAAAAAAAAAAAAAAAAATTGAATACACACTTTATAATCCATATTCTATCATGGATTATAGTTACTCACTTGATCATTGCCACGGCCAATCCTCTCTCCAAAATGCTGCAGCCCTTCTTGTAACTGAAACAAAAAAGTGGGAATATATCTCACCCATGTATGTGTTTAAAGATGTGATTTTAAAGTGGTTCTCACCCCCGCTCCTCGGAGCTTACGTTACTCACATTTCCTGTTCAAATCTTCCTCTAAATGGGCGTAGCCTGGAGGACTAAAGGGGGCGTGAACGAGACTGGGCCGTTTACATTGCTCTGGGCGGTGGCTGCTGACGTCAGGTCCAACTTGCAGACGTCAGGTCCAACTTCTGTGCCAGTGTTGGCGCCAGATTCAAAATTCAAATGTAGTAATACAGGTCGCCAGCAGATGGCGCCTCACA